CCCCAAAACCCCAAAACCCCAAAACCCCTTTTTGGGCAGTGGGAATTGAAATATAATTGAGTTTTTAAGGTGATGATAGGTGTTAGAACAATTATTGGGGGGAGGTTGGAAGTTAGAGTTGGAGAAGGAGCAGAGAAGGGTTTTAGAGGGGGTAATGGGGTTGGATGGGAGATTGGTGGGAGAGGGGGAAGAAGGGAATATGAGAGATTTGGGTAAGTGGAGGATTGATTGTAGGATGAGTGAAGAGGAGAAGAGACAGAGTGGGGCTGGAGAGGATGATGAAAGGGATAGTAGAAGAAATGAAATCGAGAAAGTAGTATTTTGATCAGAAAAGAGAGAAATAAAAAAAGCAGATCGGAAGAGTAAGAAGAGAAGTGTATTTGGTGAAGGTTCTCAATGACTTAAGTCACAGAAAAATGATATACCGACATGTAAATATTTGCTATTTCTTTGGGTATTATAAGTGCTTGTATTAACTTCTAATTTAGTAAAATTTCTTGGTATCAACAAATTGGGATTTTCTAAAACTATCAAAGCCAAGCTCAGCAAAATTTGTAACAATGTATCAAACCAAAATTGTCAAAAGGGCACCACCGAATCTACAAAATCTTCAATAAAGTTTGTTTTCCTTGGTTCTATCCCTGTACAGTTACTCACGTGCTTCAACAAAGATTCAGCCTTTATATCAAAGGAAATATGTAATCAGAGATAAACAGAAAGATTATATTTTTCAGAATTCAAATTGTCAAAATACACTTTGTGCAGATCAATCCCCTTCTATCTTTGATCGTACATTTGTCATAAAAAGCAAGAAAAATACTTTAATTGGAATAAGAGGTAGAAGGGTTTCACAAGGCTATCAAGCTTCTGCTAATCGTAAGTGAATACCAACCAAGAGATTTACTGAAATAAGAATTTTACCTCTATCGGTTCTGAAATATTAAATATTACATTCTCTATATTTCTTCACCTCATAATACAAACTTCTTGATAGCAAGAGATAAGCACAATATCACCAGAATCCGTCGTAACAAGAGTAGAGAATGCATTCTAAAGACCAAAATCCAACCAAGACCTTCCCTTCCCACCTCAAAACCCATATCTAAACCAATCGCCCTACCAGTCTCCTCTCAATCCCGCCCACCCAAAGTAAATACCCTCATAACCCACAGAAGCCCCTTCAAACCCTTCTCAGGTCCAAGACCCCTTCTTCCAGCTACAAAGTAGCCCAATTTCCCTTGACCATATAGCTCAACCCCAAAATTCTACCTAACAAATTCATGACCACCTTAAGCCAGTACTTTCCTTTACTAATCTTTCAGAGAAAGAAGATTACTCGCCCATTCAGTTTGATATTAATTTTAACAGATATGTATTTAAGAATTGTATTAGATTTTGGAGTCTCACAGTTTTGAGTTGTCTAGTAGGAATTTTGTGATATTTGTGGATTTTGAATGTAGTAGGCAAGCAGATAAGAATTCTTGGCTTGGGGATCAGAGTCAGGTGACTGGAATATTCATGCTTAAAATTAGTAGGCTCCCCACAGATTTTTTGAAGTGTATCATTTTGCGTACTTTTAGTAGAACAGTGAGACCCCCATGCTTCTTATTTCTACAAATTTGTTGCTAAAATTACTCTTTTTGAATTCACTTAGTCTTGACACATACTCAGTTTTATTGTTAAATGAATCAGAAGCTTCTTGGGCTACCTTAATTTGAGTCTTGGATAAATGAACCAAGATAGTCTCCAGACTATTTCCATTTTTCTGTAACTAATTGCCAACAGTTGGAGGGTAGGTGTTCTTCTAATTTCTGCTCTCTGCATATAATTACTCAACTACTTTACCAACTAGTTGAATATTTCTTATTTTGTCAGTAGAAGCTTAACTACTTTTTCCTTCAAAGGGATCATTTCGACATTACTAGAGTTAATATTAGCCTTGTCTGCTTTTTCTTCTTCAGAAGTGAGACTTGATTTCTTGCAATAACTTTCAGTAAGATTCTTTGACTCCAATAAGTTTGAAATTGAATTTAAAAGTCAATAATTGTGCTTAGAAGTGGGGTTTTGGGGTTTTGGGGTTTTGGGG